TAGGAACATCCATCCTCGGAGTAACCACTATCACATGTCCTGCCAAACTCACATTACAACTTTACATTCTACTGTACTAACTAATGCATGACATTCCAATTACCAACAATTTGTTTTGATTACTAACAACCTGTAAAACAGGAACACTTAAAGTAATGCCTTACAAAACTGCATATATGTAGTACTGTATAACAATAATAAGGTAAACCAGTATTTATTACCTGACCAGAAACACAAGAAACTCAATAACTGGATGAAAGGTAAGGAAGGACTCAGCCTCAGCTATGCCAAAATTATACTAAACAGATAAAACTGGTTACATTTATAATAGATCAGTGTGGTTGCTTGGAAGTCAATCTAACACATCAAAATATTAAAAGATAGGTAAATATGTTATTTTGTTTAAAAAACATTAAAAAAAAAAGCTCTATCCCATATAAAGATGAAAAGCCTAAACTCTGCCACTTCCAGATATAAGGTTTACTGACTGTGTATGTGCACAAGTGTGTGTGTCCGTGTGTGTTCCGTGTGTGTGTGTGTGTGTGTGGTGTGTGTGTGTGTGTGTGTGTGTGTGTGTGTGTGTTGTGTGTGTGTGTGTGTGTTTGTTTCTGTGTATGGTTTTGTGTTTTTTGCGGGTTTTTTTTTGTGCGTGTGTGTATATTTTTGTCTGTATATGTATATACAGTGGACCCCCAGTTTACGATCAGCTCCCAATGCGACCAATTATGTAAGTGTATTTATGTAAGTGCGTTTGTATGTGTATGTTTGGGGGTCTGAAATGGACTAATCTAATTTAGCCGGGTCACCATATGGAGAAGACCCGGGCCGGAAGTACCGGCGAATCTCGAATGAATGAATGAATGAACTAATCTAATTCACAATATTCCTTATGGGAACAAATTTGGCCAGTACTGGCACCTGAACATACTTCTGGAATGAAATAATATCGTAAACAGGGGGTCCACTGTATCTTAGTGTATGAAGAGGATATTACAGGTCAACAAGACAAATCTTCACTCATTCTCTCACACAAAGAAAAAGAAAATGTTCCTAACATTAACTTCTTGGTGGGTATTTCTGGCTAATTCCCGTGTTTAAATTTATTGTCATTTCTCTCCGGTTAACATAAGAAAGGAGGAACACTGCAGCAGGCCTGTTGGCCCATACTAGGCAGGTCCTTTTTAATTCATCCCACTAAAAGCATAATTTCAATATCTGATAAGCAACATTCTCAAAGAGAAACAGAAAGAAAGCAACTAATTTTTGGTATATGAAAGAGCCAAATCTGGACTCATTACCAACGTGTGTGTGTGTTTACATCATACATAAACTTGCCTAACCAGTGGATACTGATTTCCTTATTGTAACTACTGAGCACATGTTAATTATTACAAGTCACAAGCCCTTAACTTTGTTCACAGCACTGTTGTTGTTGTTGTCCTCACACAAATGCCAGACAATAGAAAGTGTTACAGTAACAACGAGCAAGAGATTCATGAAGCTGTTACTGCCTTGTACGAGCTGCAAAAGGTGTTGCACAGGATGCATGGGGTGAGCATGTGCACATATGCAAGCACAAGCAATGTTCTTGTGGCAAAGCACGTTCATTATGCACTGACTTAGAGAGAGCTTAGCTTGCCTAGCGAGAGTTGCTGCCTTCAGATTGTCATCAAAAGTACGGTATATAACTTTATATAGACTGATGCAGCTTTCTTTGAGGACAGGTAAAGGGGTGGCATGTACAGGCCTTTCTTGGCTGGTCAATCAAGTGAAATAGGGCAGGAATAGTTTATTAAAAGGCTTTAATCTTTCTAAGAAGTGTAAAAATAGACAAGAATTCCCATGAGGCTAACATTACTACAACAAAACATGCCTCACATTTATCTAAGTAACAATAGGGAATGAACTAGTTGCCATTATCTAATCTAACCATTTAGAAGAAATATATTTGATACTTGCAGTACTTTCCACCACTCTCATTGTAGTGAACCAAAGAACTGATGATACAGGTATGTGTACAGCCAACAGGCTCTTACAATGCCCTAATACTCAGTTACCTGTGATGGGATGCATGAACTACTGGGGTTTCAAATGCCACACCTTCTTGCTAAGACAGAATTACTTAAATAAGCAGATTAGAAAAGGTATGTGATGGTAAGCAATTCATGTACTACTTGTGCAATTTTATATGCAGGTCAATTGATATATTGTTTAGACTGGCAACCTAGTTAGCCTATTTAAATGTGTACCATTAACTTAAATTCCTAAAAACTACATCACAAAGTTCACTTCTCAATCCAGTACAAGAAGCCAATCCCAAAAATTTATCATTTAATAACTAGCCTACCTCCCTCCCCACAAAAATCGTTATCTAAGAGACTGATATATTTATACTCTATATATGGTGCATTGTCTTTTACTCGATTATCAGTCGAAAAGTTTCCCAGGAACAATTTCAATGCTGAAGTTCTGACTTGTCACTGATAACAGAATTACTGTACTGTAACTGTCAGTTTTGAGTGATATTTTATGTTAGTCCAAACAAATAATACATAGAACTACAGTTATAAGCTAAAAAGTTACTATGCCAATTAAATTTGGATACATTAACTTTTGATAATAACGTCGTCCCAGTTTACTGGATTCTGTATTGCAACTGATGGTTACTAATATTTCCTTTAGCATAAAAAGATTATCTAATATAATCTTCCATTTTTGTGGTTAATTTTGGCATTGCATATGCAAAAGACTGAAACAGATATTAAAATTTTTGAAACATCACTAGCTAAAATGAGTAGAAGGTTAGTAAGGATAATGATCGTATGCAGAGCCAACTGGCTAAGTGGAACCACACACATTTTCCTATTTGGGTGAATATGAAGGAGTATAACTACCACAGCCTGCTTGTATACCTTAAATATTTTTATATGAAAATATTAAATTATAAATCAGATCCACATGTGTTAGTCTGCATCTGTTTTTTTCCTGTCTTTTGAGAATTTGATCACCTCATTGTGCCCTTGAAAGTCGCTGTAAGAATCCAAACATACAATTTAATTCTGCTCTAGGAATTTATAAAATTTGTCTTTATATGATAAAAATTAATTTAGTGCACTAGAACCTCCTGCACAGTTGACAACATGGAGCAGAAATGTAACAATCAGCACTGATTAATTATGAGTGGTAAAAGTCATCCTATTTACTTTGGTTGCTCACTCAAAAACAAATGTACTTTTGAAGACATTTCATGAGCCCCAACTCATTTGGGGTTCTCAGAGCTTATGTGTGAATTAAAATCCTACCTATGTTATAGTAAAAGGCTTCATGAGTGATGTAAATAACTCTAGTGATTTTGATTGCACATGTCTTAAAACATTATAGAAAGGTGACAATACTAAGGAATGTATGTTGCAGGGGATATACAGTACTGCCACTCACTAGTGTTACAGGCATATATTAGCCACTAAGCACTGAATTAATTACTTTTCAACCGACTGTTTTACACAGAATATCTCGGATGATAATCCTGTTTGATGCAGAGTACATGTATACTTGATGCCAATTATATATACTGTTTGTAATTTTTGTGTGTACTTCTATTAAGAATTACCCTGTTTGTAACAATATTTTTTATTCTATTAAATAAGTGAAAGCAGTCTACAATCCCTGAACAGACTGGCTGTAAATGTTGTTAATAATTCACGAGCAGATTGGTTGTAAATATTGTTAACATTCTATGAACAGAGGGGCTGTAATTTTTCATGTTTCATACACAGAATGGTTGTAAATAATGACTGACCACTCTGTAAACAGTGTTTTTATAAAAACACAAATGTACACATTGTCTACACTTCAAGAACTGGGGTGCAAACCATATGTATTGGGGTGAATATCACATACTGATTTATCTTTCTATCTGTGAGACACTAAACAAAAAACCTGCATAAGCCAGTCAACATGCTTATTTCCTAGCACTGTAAGTTCTAGTTATTCAAATTCCAAAATAAAATACTACTGCTGACATATTTTAGCTTCCTAAAGCAAACACTATTGTCACTTCATATACTTTTGAGAAACGTATCATTAACAGGCCTTTACCAAATAATCAGTCAGCCACGACAAGATTTTACTCTTGCTCTAATTTCTACGACCCCATCGGTGCAAAGGCCTCACATACCAGACACCTCGGCAAATATTGCTGCAACTTTAGCTTCTAAAAATTAAGCTTAGGTACAGAAAACCTCTAGTATTTTTTAAATGTATAATGTCACAAGCCGCTAGAAATGTTGATCATTTTAAAAACACGGGGACATAAAAAATTTAAATTACTCAAACTGAAATTACCAAGTAAAATTTGCCATTTTTTTTAGTCAACATCATGATACATCATTATTTAAACTGTACATTATTAACGAGATACCACAGCATAACTTTTGCTATATATGCCCTATATTGCTTTATTTAAGGTCAGTTTTTTATACAATTTGATTGCAAATAAAGCCATTTCTCATTCTAATTAAGAATTAAGAGAATTACTTACACCTTTCCAATAACTAAGTGGAGTTTCTTGTGATATATACCAATGGGTCATTCCTAATTATGACATCTGATTGTTAGGGATTAGATTTTGCTCTTAATTTCTTATTTCTGGACGGCAGTGCATTAAACCGAAGCACTGAATTTCTTTCCCTAGGGTTAGCAAGTTAATAAATTGAATAATGCAAACTGGCGGAGTAAAAGGTCTACTGTTGGATACAATATGGCTAGTTAAATTAGTAAGTTTTCTATAAAAAAATGTCCAGTCTAATGAAATTTATATAATTATTCTTGTTATACAATTTAGTTAAACACCACAAGTACCAATGGCTTCAGATAAAATATAGTTAAGAATTCTGTTAGAAGAATTTGACAGCATCTAGCATATAAAACTTGACCAACCTTGACCATGTTGTCTTATTCATATTGATATCAATCCAATTATTGGCTTTGACATCACAATCAGTATTGATATGGAGACATCTAGGACTGCAAGAAGATACCCTTCACATATAATGAAGTTATAAGTTTTTTCTGTTCAACATCTGTCAGGCAATTCATCAGTGTGTACACCAGCCCTCACACTCCCACAGCACCTACTGCAAGACTGGGTTTATCTCAACAAGGCTTTGATCTCGTCCTTCTCTGCAGCATCCAAGTAACTCGTGCCATCGGGTGCAGTGCCATTTTTGTCGGCTCCCTGCAGAAAAAAAATAGAATTTAATTAAAACAAAATATAACAAAACAAGATGAACTGCACTTAAGAGAAATTCAGAGCAGGAAGATTCGTGCAACACTCAGATGGATGAGGACTACATAACTGACGTCAAGCAAAATGCAGAATAAAAAAAATACATACTGGTAACTAAGAAAAAAAAAAAAAACATGAAAAGTGACCAAAAGCTAATGAAGAAAACTAGAAAGAAAGAGGGTTATTGTTTTTTTAGTTATGCTGAGAAAGAAAACAGTAGAAATATTAAGTAAAATGAGATAATATAACTGGCTAATGAAACCCAAAGAAAAAAAATTATAATTTATGCTGGGTGTAGAAGAAACAGCTGATGAACATAGCTAAATTCACCAAACACAAAACATTTAGTGTTTGTGCAAGATACTAATGCTTTAATGAGGGTTCTGAATAACCAGACCAGTCCTGCTCAAAGAGAAAGCTAATCAAACAAGGCTAATGGGAGCAAGCAGCTTCCATTGATTTGGAAATTCCAAACTATGTGAACAAAGTGAATACTGCACCGTACTTTGGAAAGAACCCCACAGCAAGGAGGTGTTGGTTCACCTTCTTTGATCCAGCTTACTTTGAGGATAGAACTTTTCTCAGTGCCTTCTGAGGCTTGTTAACACTACTCACCACTACTTACTGTGGAATAAAGTTAAGTTCACAGAACAATTATTATTAATGAATAATAATTGTTTTTTTTCAACACATTGGCCATCTCCCACTGAGGCAGGGTGACCCAAAAAAGAAAAACATTTTCACAGTCATTCAACACTTTCCACATCATTCACACGTAATCACTGTCTTTGCAGAGGCACCATGATATAACAGTTTAGATGTCACTCCAAACAGCCAATATCCCAAAACCCTCCTTAAAAGTGCAGACATTGTGCTTCCCACCTCCATGACTCAAAGTCCGGCTAACTGGTTTCCCTTCACAAAAAATAGTATCGTCAGGGCCCAAAAACCATTTGTCTCCATTAAATCCTATCTAACACACTCACAAATGCCTGCTGCATGTCTAAGCCCCTTGCACGTAAGACCTCTTTTACAAAGGGATTCAGGGAAACTGGTTAGTTGGACTTCGAATCCTGGAGGTGGGAAGCACAGGGCCTGCACTCTGAAGGAGGGGTGGAGATACGCTGCAGTTTTTGAACTGTAGTGTAGACACGCCTCTGGCAGGGCAGTGATGGGATGGGTGATGATGAGAGTGTTTCTTCTTTTTTGGGTCACCCTGCTTTGGTAGGAAACAGCTGACGTGTTAATAAAAAATATATACGTATACAGTATACGTTTTCATTTTTAACACACTGGCCATTTCCCACTGAGGCAGGGTGACCCGAAAAAGAAACACTTCCACCATCACTGTCTTGCTAGAGGCCCACAGATATGACAATTCAGATGTTCCTCCAAACAGTAAATATCCCAATCCTCTCCTTTAGAATGCAGGCACTTATTTCTCACCTCCAGGACTCAAGCCCCATTAACTGGTTTCCTGAAATCCCTTCACAAAATACAGTGGACCCCGCCTGACGATCAGCTTCCAATGCGACCAATTATGTACGTGTATTTATGTAAGTGCTTTTGTACGTGTATTTTTGGGGGTCTGAAACCGACTAATCTAATTCACAATATTCCTTATGGGAACAAATTCGTTCGGTAACGGCACCTGAACATACTTCTGGAATGAAATTAAATCGTAAGGCGGGGGTCCACTGTATCTTGCAACAGTTAATCAGGTCCCAAAAGCCATTTGTCTAAACTTACATCTATCTAACATGCTTGCACATGCCTGCTGTATGTCCAAACCCTTTACACACAAAACCTCCTTTAACCCCCTTCCCTCTATCCTTTCATAGGACGACCCCTACCCCACCTTCCCTCAACTACAGATTTATACGTGCACATACACACACGCATGTGTTGACCCTGGAGTTCACAAGAAAAAATTGACAAACTACTTCCTGGGGAAGCTATTCTAGAAATAAAAGAAAATAAAAAGTATTATAATAGAAAAAAATGCATAGAAAACAATAACAGCAAAGAGTGATTTTACTCCTAGAACTGTAATAACATACAACTTTTACACTGTGCCCAGTGAAGCCGAGAAACAATACAAGAAATGCACAGTAAGGAATAACACATAAAGATCCACTTACTGCTTCGAGGAGCACTTTGACGCATTGTGTATGACCTTCCCAGATGGCAGCTAGTAGTGCAGTGATTCCATGTTTATCTGTTGACTAAAATAATACAACATTTGAACATCAAATAAATTAAGACGAACACCACAAATTATAGCTATACTATAAATAGGTATAACCATTACAAATAAGTAATTATGACAAAAAAAATCAGTTAGCATCATATACTGTACTTCAATAATGTAATAAACAATTTTAAACCAATTTTGCTAGATTTAGATATCCATTCTTAACTATTCATAGTTCTCTTGCTTAACTCTATTTAGTTACCAAGTTGTTTTGATGAGTTTACATTAATAGCATATATACAGTGGACCCCCGCTTAACGATCACCTCCAAATGCGACCAATTATGTAAGTGTATTTATGTAAGTGCGTTTGTACGTGTATGTTTGGGGGTCTGAAATGGACTAATCTACTTCACAATATTCCTTATGGGAAAAAATTCGGTCAGTACTGGCACCTGAACATACTACTGGAATGAAAAAAGTTCGTTAACCGGGGGTCCACTGTACTTTAAACTCAGTACAGTACTGTATCTTCATAAATAGACCATGACATATCAGCACACTTCTGGGAAGACAACAATTGAATGACCTGTGGTGAATTTGCAACCTTAAATTTATGTTCAATCTTAAATTTTCTTGAGGATTTTTTTTTTTTACACACTGGCCATCTTCCACCAAGAAATATTGACCCAAAAATCCACAAACATTCCTCATTCATTCAGTAGCTGTGTTGCCAGCAACTGAATCACAATTCAAATGACCTTCCACACTAACATGCCCAACCCCCCTTCATAGCAGAGGAACACTACATTTCCCATCTCCAGGATTCAGTTCCAGTAACTTATTTCCCTGAATCCCTCCTTCATGTTACAGTACCTTGCTCAAAAGTCAAGTACAAAAAATACACTTGTCTCCACTCACTCCAACCTAGCATGCTGATACAAGCTTGCTAAATACTCAAATCTCTAGTACTCACAACCTTCTTAACCCCTTCAAAATTTCCTGGGATCACACAGACCCATCCTTTCTCCCACTATGCAATTGTTATAGAGAAATATACATAATACATGTTACAGTTTTTTAACTGTAGTATTGGAACACCTCTGGCAAGGCAGTGATGGAGTGATGGTGAAAGTGTTTTCTTCTTCAGGTCACCCTGCCTTGATGGGAGACAGCCAATGTGTTAAAAAAATATTCATTTAAAATTTGATTTTTTCAATATATGTACTGTACATATATTCTATTACCTGTATTACAATTTTGGAAAGCATTGTGCATACTACGGACTTCACAAGAAATATTATAAACTAATTTGCCTTTGTTCATGCCTAATAATAAAACTGAACATTTTGCCTATACCTGGGGTATACCTGGAGTATACCTGGAGAGGGTTTCGGTGGTCAACGCCCCCGTGGCCCAGTCTGTGGCCAGGACTAGTTTATTATTTTTCCCATAACATTCATTTTAGGTTGGCAATACGTCTCCTCACTTAGCGATGTGCTCGTTTACCGACACCTCAGACTTACGAAGGGCTCTCTGACCAGTATGCATACCTAAATAATGCATATTAGAGCTGATTTCCTCTATTCTGTTTATATTACAATATACAGTACACTACTGTATAAACATTTAAAAATATACTAAAAATGTTATAAACGTTGCAAAGGTGACATTAAAGCAATATCAAAGATGGCTGACACAAACTCACTACCATTATAGTATGCTCCTCACTGAGTGACGAATTTGTTTACCGACACGATTTTAGGAAAGGAACTCCGTCGTTAAGTGAGGAGAGGCTGTATTATATTATACTGTAACTCACCTCCACATTAGCTCCCTTCTCTAGTAGATATTTGATGATGTCTAGTTGGCCATAGTCAGAGGCAAGGCAGAGTGGTGGGCGACCCTCAATTGCTAGATTGACGTCAGTTCCTTTCTAGAAACAAAATAATCCAGAATTAAGGTTATTTAATTTAGGGTAATCACTAAAGAAACAAAATTAGAAAGATCATCCTGTGCAATAAGTGCTGGGGACCTTGCTGCTGTAAGTCCATGACTACATCAGAAAAGTTCTCCTTTTTTATAAAGACATATAAAGTGTTTAAAAAAAAAGATACAGCATATTACCTAGTTGGTATAAACAAGAGGACAATGTATCTTGTGAAGCTCACAGTATACACAGTATTTTTAGCAAAAATATACCTAATAAACTTCAAAAGAGTAATCAAGATGCTATGTTTATATAATGTATAGGTACATAATGTATAGGGATATGTTGTGTATCTTTATATGTGTATGCTTCTAAACTGTTGTATTCTGAGCACCTCTGCAAAAACAGTGATAATGTGCGAGTGTGGTGAAAGTGTTGAATGATGATGAAAGTATTTTCTTTTTAGGGATTTTCTTTCTTTTTGGGTCACCCTGCCTTGGTGGGAGATGGCCAACTTGTTGAAAAAAAAAAAAATAGGTACATATATACTTCTCCCTATTAATCCATTAAATTGAGGATTTACAATGTAATCAAGTTATGTCTAATTATTTCTTATACGTGGGATGTACAATGGAAGCTCTAGTCATAAGACAAACTCGATGTTTTAACACTTGCTTGGCCGGGCATTAAAAACAACACACTTGAATATGCATGCTTGCTTCTGATCAAATACAGGTTTTCAAAAATGAGTGAGAACTGTATTATGTAAAACTGACACTCAGGGTAGTCAAAAAATGCTGAATACCGATAATGCCCATCAGTTAAAATAATATTCCCAGCATTTATGAAGCCATGAGTTTTGTCCTCCCCACCTTCCCATCAGGTGTTATCTTGCAGCCTTAAATAAAGTACTACAGTAGTCCCACAAAACCCCAACCAAACTATTATTTCTTTAGTACTGTAATTTTTAACCCTTTCAGGGTTTCGGACGTACTAGTACGGCTTACACACCAGTGTCCATGACGTACTAGTACGGCTTACACACCAGTGTCCATGACGTACTAGTACACATAAATTCTAGCGCCTTCAAATCTAGTGAGAGAAGCTGGTAGGCCTACATATGAAAGAATGGGTCTATGTGGTCAGTGTGCGCAGTATAAAAAAAATCCTGCAGCACACAGTGCGTAATGAGAGAAAAAAAACTTTGACCGTGTTTTTGGATTAAAACAGACTTTGCACTATATTTTTGTATGGTATTTATTGTTGTATTCTAGCTTTCCTGGTCTCATTGTATAGAATGGAAGACATATTACAGAAATTGAGGTGATTTTGACTGGTTTTACAATGAAAAGTACCTTGAAATTGAGCTCAAAGTAGCAGAAATGTTCGATTTTTACCAAAGTTCAAAAGTAAACAAATCATGCTAAGCATCCAATACACGTCAACTGGTGAGTCTAATATTCTTTCACAAGTGCGCCGATATTATTTATACCATTTCTACACTAATGCAGTAGTCTGCATAACAGTAAATCTTATTTTTTTTGTGAGAATAAAAATTCAAAGTGGAAAGCAAAAAAAAATGTAAGAGGGGCCTGGGGACGTGACTAATGAACAGAGGAAATGTTATTTTATGCCAGGAATGTCTTTCTTGTTTATTCTGGACCCTATTTGTAAATTGGCATCTTTTGAAATTTGTGTGAAATTGGCAAAATTGCTAAACTCTGACCACTGTATTGGATAGCTGAAATCAGTAAATTGGTGGTTTCTTGTACTCATTTGATGGAAAAAAATGGAGTTCTAGCGAAATAGTTATGATTTTTGTCGACTTGTACATTGGAATTGGCCGAAAATAGGGCTCAAAGTGGGCAAAATTGCCGATTCGTAAACATCGTCGAGACCGCTAACTTCATGAGAGCATAATTCCGTAAGTTTCCCATCAAATTTCATACTTTTGGTGTCATTATGATGGGAAAAGATTCTCTATCTTTTCATACGAAAAAATAATTTTTTTTTTTTGAAATTTGGGGGACCCTGAGAACAAGTCTCTGAGAGGCCTGTGGACCCTGAAAGGGTTAATGACAAATCTGCATATTCTAGTCAGTGCTTATAATTATTACAATCACAACTAAGTACTAAATCACTGCTTATAAATAAATACTGTACAGATAAATACAATAAAATCTCAATTTAATGGACTAATAGGAAGGAAGAAATGAGGGTGTCTGGTAATGCCAAATATCCAGTAAATCCGAATGAGATGGTTTTGCTGGGATTGCAATAAAAATGGACAATTCTATAATCAAGGGATTTAATTCATTGCTTTTGAAATCAATTTACCCAGCAGACTGTACTAGCAGATAATACAGTGGTACCTCGAGTTTCGAACAGCTCCCAACTCTAACAATTATGTACGTGTATCTTCGTAAGTGATTTTTTTGTGGGTCTGAAATGGACTAATCTAATTTACATTAGTCCTTATGGGAACAAATTCTTTTGGTAATGGCACTTAAACAGCCTTCTGGAACAAATTATGGCCAAAACTCAAGTTACCACTGTACTATGAGCAACAGACTGCCTGTTTTTCCTGAAATCAATTTATACAGTGGATTTGGTCCATTCATTCTGTAATTTGATTGGGAAATGCTAAGCACAGGCATCCCTATATTCAATTTGTTATACAGTGGTACCTCAGGATACGAACTTAATTCGTTCCAGAAGGCTGTTCGAGTGCTGATACCAAATGAATTTGTTCCCATAAGGTATAATGTAAATTAAATTAATCCGTTTCAGACCCCGAAAAATACACTTACAAAAGAACTTACATAATTCTTCGAGTTTTTAGCTGTTCGTATCCTGAGGTACCACTGTACTGTACTGTACTGTACTTGGGAAGTTATATGAAAATGTTTAATTATTTTTGTCCCATTTATCGTGTACCCCTCCTTCAGAGGGGTGTTAATGTTGCAGTTTTATAAACTGTAGTGTAAAGCATCCCTCTGGCAAGACAGTGATGGAGTGTGGAGTGTTTCTTTTTCGGGCCACCCTGCCTTGGTAGGAATCGGCTGATGTGTTAATAATAATAATAATCACGTACAGGTTGGCCATCACTAATCCGGCAATCAGTTATCCGGTTTCATCAGTAATCCGGCACTAATTTTGGCTAGCATAATTTCAAATTTCATCATTATACCGACTCAGAAATTGGGCAGATGTAAATCCACAGCAGCAAGCCAGTGGAGGAGAAAGTAGTGATGCATATGAGGAAGATGTAGCAGAAAGTCTCTCTCTTGATAGGTTAATTAAGTGTATTCTAACCTAACCACTCTGTAATTGGCAAACTCACTAATCCGGCACACTACAGGTCCCAATTATGCCGGATTAGTGATGGCCGACCTGTACTACACTTTGGTGTGGGATTCAAAACTTAAACTGTCACAAATCCATCTACTTGGGATGTTAAAATGGTGTCCATTACCAACATACAGCTGCCCTGCCATATTCACATCCTCCTCCACATAATGCAATGCAAAATCAAAAATAAACTTTTACCAGGATGTCCACCCACAGAAGCCTTTCCTGGTTCCACCTTGCTCTATTCCCCTGAATCTCTCATGGGACTCTCCCTCTGAACACCAAGTCTACATTTTCCTTCCCACAGATCACTTGCTTGTTTCTTCTGAGAAACCCTTCCTGATTCATATCTTGTAACTTCTTTATGAAGTTTGTAGATTTTACAGGACATGACTGGACAGGAATGGCTGTCCAGTCTTCTTTAATGAATTAGAAAAAAAAAGTATCCACTGGTTGTGGCATATGCTACCATGGAGCCCATTCCAGCTATTCACCACTATTTATGAAGTATTTCTTATAGGCGGTAAATTGGTAGACAACCATCTAGGGAGATGCAGTAATGTCATACAAGTATGAAATTCAAGCAAGAAAGGTTTGTCACTTTCTTTTGCCATTTCTCAAATTAAACAGTAATTGAAGATTACAGTTATATTTATTAACAATACACAGAGCTTTGCTAGTCATTCATTTACAGTTACCCCTATACATTTTCATTTATCTCATTTTCTTAAGACTTAAAAGATATATATTCAAATAGCATATTTTCACTCTGCCTCATTCCATGTAGTATTTGTCTACAATGTACTGGATTGCCCATCATCTGCAATCTGAGTTGTTCTGTACATTCCTTGAAGATTTTTAACACACTGGCCATTGCTCACTGAAGTTAGATGACCTGAAAATAAAAAATTTCACTCATTCATTTTTATTGCTAACTTGCCCGAGACATGCCAACATTACAGTTCACATGACCCTCCAAATTACAGTATCCTCCTTCAGAGTGAAGATACTGTACTTCCTACCTTCAGTACAGTACCTTCACTCTGAAGAGGGGGTGAGAAAATTTTAGTCTAGAAGGTCATTTGAATTGTAATGTCAAGCACACCTCTGGCAAGACAGTAATAGAACGAATGATGGATAAAGTGTTTCTTCTTTTTCGGGTCACCAAACGGTAAATGGTTTGGTAAATTCTTCAGCAAATGGAAAAGTAGCAGAGTGGCCCTGTACAGTCCTTAAGGGCAGCTAAGTTGCATATATTTATTCAGAATTCAGGGACAGCAGACAAGTAAAATACATTCCTTCATAATCCAGGGATGGCAGACAAGACAAGTTGTCCCACAGAGTGATATCTCACCTGGCAATACAGCTACATGGCTTTTATTGTTGTCAATACAGAATATACTATGATAGCTTACTTCCTTTTAATTTCAATACAAGTTCAAGTCTGGTTCATTAAAGTATGCATACACTATGCTTGCATGTATGAATTTGCATTGCTGGTTCTACGTGGAGAAAATGTAATTCGTCATTTGAGAGGTAAATGATTTCACATTTAAAAATATCTAAAATATAACAAGCCCATTTGCTGATTTCATTTTTAGATATACTGTACCATGTGATAAGCAAATGTATATGTGATAACTGAGAGCTTATCT